AATAAAACTGAGAATTCTGAAGAGTTTTCCTATTTTTTTTTTCAAAAAATTTGAGGTTTTTTCTCAATAAGCAGGCCAAAACGGTTCAATTTGCTGGAAAACCCAGAAAATCAAATCGCCAATCTTATTTGCATATCATCAAAAAGCTCTCACAAAATCTTTGCCCTTTTTTTCTTCAAGAGTCTTTGAATCGTTTTGAAGAATCTTTGAAATCTTCCAATATTCTTTGGCAAACACCAGCTAAAACAGCAAAAAAACTTCTTTCAGATGACACACAACTATTCATGTTCAAACGTAACAAAAAATGGAATCAAAATGAATTGCAGTAGTCAAATTGCACCATCCTAGCTTTAAAAAACCAGTCCTGATATCTCAAATGGGGCAACCTTTAGGAGGGTTTAGGCTTGCCCCCAATCGGTCCACCGGATGCTCGATTTCAACGCAAATGGGGAGCTAACAGTTGTCTTGTTGCAACTTTTGAGATTCGGAAGGCTGGTTTTTTTACTTTCAGTTAGTTTTTCTCTTTTCGTTGCAACTGGTTCTTTTGTTTGATATGACCGTTTTTTGTAATTCTTAGTAGTCAGAAGTCGTGATTCCATGATTTGTAAACTTGAATTTAGGAATCATCTTAACCTTTTAAAGCACTTCTATTCTTTTTCTAAGGCCATTTTTTGTCAAAATTTGTTCAACCGTAAGGTTACTTTAATTGTTTCTGCTTTCTGTCATCTTTGTTTCTGATTCCTTAAATTAGTTAATTATGCGCATGTCAATTTTGGCAGAAATTTTTCGACCGTATTTTTTTTACATGCGACGATTATCCCAACTGTATCATATAGTCAGTGCTTTTTTTCATATTGGCTTCATCCAGGTCTCTTATATCGTTTTTCCGATTTTTGATCACTTTCGAGAGGGCTCTATCATCTTATGTTCCTCTGGGCTTGCAACGAGTCCGAAGATTCGTATCTTAACATCACTACCTTCGTTCAGCTGGACCATTACCAGGCCAGATTGTGCATTTTGTGAATTGTAAGCGGATTCCGCAATAACGACGCTCGCTTTCGTTCTCCTTTTATTGCTTCATTTTCTTTGATCGTTCCGTCAAAGTTTTAGCCTGTTTAAAGGCTTGGCTCTGGAATCCAGGAACAAACAGACACAAAACTGTGCTCCTATCCAGTGCACAGTTTGGCCTCATAATGATAGTCAGCACAGCGTGTCAAGGCATGCCTTCGCTCTTTTCCTACATGCTAGCTTGATAAAGCTTTTTTTCGTGTCTGTTATCGGAACTGGCTTTGCCCTCATTTTTTCATTGCAAAGTTTTGGTATATTAGTGTTTTAGTAACCTCTGTGAGCTCTAATTTGTCCCCTCCGTGAGGATTTGCGGTGAGATATGATTATGTAACCCAAGCCCACAAGAAAAATAATTGTCTTTCAAAGCGCTCAATCCGATAGAAAGTTTCGATCTCTAGTAAACTGTGACCACTGCTTACTCCAATTTGTAGGTCTAATCTTGTTTCTTCTCAAAACTTCACTTTTGCCCTCTTTCTCGTGCTCTTCGTGTATGCTGTTTTGCGCTTCACGGGATGATGTATCGGGTCATCGGGATGCTCCTTTGCCACTGTTTCTTTATTCGTATTGGCAAATTGTGTTTTAGCTCTCATGACTAGCCATTTCAAGTAACGTTACCACGTCTTACTCTATCAACCCCTCTAGAAGTTATGCGTAGTTTGGGAGTATGCTCATCTTGCCTTCCGCAAGAATTCACAATCTAGCACCTAATTTTGAGTGTTCCAAACGCGGCATTTGTATTTTTTCTATTGGCAGCGCATTCTTGGTGAACTTTATTGCGACTGAGGTGTCTTTAGTTAGCTTGCGCCGATGATAATTCATATGCGCTGATGATTGAGTTTGATTCATTGTGGCGATAATCTGAAAAATCAAAAAAACCAGAACACCAAGCAACTATTGAAACTCTAATTCAAGGACATGCAATTGCTCGACTGTTACCTTTTTACTCTTGATTGAAATTCGAGCGAATGCATGTCACTGAACTAAAGTTTCAATGGTTGCTTGGTTTTCTGGAGTTTTGACTTTTCAGTTTACCGCCACAAGTAGTCAAACTCAATCATCTGCACAGTGACTGTCTTTGATCTCAATTCAGTTTCCATACTCGTAAACTTATTAGAATCAGGGCTTTTTGCTTAGGTCATCCGAATATTGATACTTATCTCTTGTGCGATACTCGCACAACATACGGAATTTATCGAGCCGTATGATCCATGTATCAGAGTGACTCTGGTCAATTGAATAAGTCTTGAGCTACGATAGATCACCAGCTGGGTAGTCCATACTTCCATACTTTCTCTCTGGATCTCAGGCTAGTGCTGCCTTAGACAATTAGTCTCAGCGCATTCTTGCCAATCTTTCCTGATTTTTTAAAAGTATGCGAAGTGCTGCGACCGCCGAGGCATCCGTTCCCATGACATGCATATCTTTTCCAATGGCATCCCAAGTGCTGGGTTTCCACTGCGCCTCTATCGGGTCTAATTCATGTTTTTTCTATCATTCTGTCCGGAGTTGCTATCGAATCTTTCAATGATTCAAATTTGAATGGTCACACATGAGTCCTGCCAAAGTCATGAAAAAACACACTTCAAGCAAGAATTCGATTCGCTTATGGAGTTTTGGAGATGAATATGTCAAATTTTGTTTCAAAATTCCGTCCCAAGATGAACTCTTCTGCTTCATCAAAAATTCTGCTCATTAGGGCTCTCGTCAATAAGTTTTTCAGCTATCTTGAGTGCTACAATGACTTCTTTCATAGAAAATTAGGTCTAATTTGTTCGTTGGCATCAAAATGACTGCCAGTAACTTATTCAAAGTCAGAAAGAAGATAGAAGGTGGTATAGAGCATTTTTGCGCGTTTGATCATAAAACACAAATAGTTTAAGATGACGAAAATTTTAGTTCGAATCTTTAAAAAAACAGCAACTGCACCATCGTCACTCTGGCTGCTTTTAACTAAGTTTTTAACTAAGTAAAATTTAACTAAGTACGCAAATGACATTGCACATTTAGTAGCGCATTAACAACACTGCGAATAACTTATTCAAAGCAAAATTTTTACAGGTTCGATTGCAGAAGAACAATTTCTGATGCCGTTAAGCTATTCTACCGAATGTTGGAACAATACACTGAAAAGGAAAGAAAACAATCAGCTGAAAAAACCAAGAAGCAAAAAAACTAATTTCAACTAATATAATTTTAGTGAACGTTTTTTGCATAAAGCTTTTTATTCGCAGAACTTTCATTTTTTGGCAGTCAAAAATTCTCAAGTGAAAGCGAAAAAAAAATGTTTGAAAACGAAAAAGCCAGACAGAAAAAGTAAATAAGATCCAGATCATATATTTGAAGGTGAGCCAGAACAAAAAGCGAGAAAATGCATTTGAGGCCAGCATGTGTTTATTTTGTAAAGTATTGCATCCACACCAAGTTGTGCGCCTATCGAGCATACAAGTTGGCCTCGTATGGGACTTTTCGCCTATTTTGTACTGCAGTATTGTAACAACATGATCGTGAAAATCTGAGCACGAAAATAGTGTAGTTATTCTTATTTCGAATCAAAGAAGCAACCTTGCCTGGTCCAACA